CGGATAACTCGGGCGTCCAGAGCCCCCGAATCATCAGGGGTAACTCGGGTCAGGGATAACTCGGGTTCCTTTTTCGGGAATCCAAGCCCGAGTTACCCCGGACCCGAGTTACCCCGGATAACTCGGGCGTCCAGAGCCCCGAATCATCAGGGGTAACTCGGGTCAGGGCTAACTCGGGTTCCTTTTTCGGGGATCCAAGCCCGAGTTACCCCGGACCCGGGTTACCCCGGATAACTCGGGCGCCCAGAGCCCCACATCATCAGGGGTAACTCGGGTCAGGGCTACCTCGGGTTCCTTTTTCGGGGATCCAAGCCCGAGTTACCCCGGACCCGGGTTACCCCGGATAACTCGGGCGCCCAGAGCCCCGAATCATCAGGGGTAACTCGGGTCAGGGCTAACTGGGGTTCCTTTTTCGGGGATCCAAGCCCGAGTTACCCCGGACCCGGGTTACCCCGGATAACTCGGGCGCCCAGAGCCCCACATCATCAGGGGTAACTCGGGTCAGGGCTACCTCGGGTTCCTTTTTCGGGGATCCAAGCCCGAGTTACCCCGGACCCGGGTTACCCCGGATAACTCGGGCGCCCAGAGCCCCGAATCATCAGGGGTAACTCGGGTCAGGGCTAACTGGGGTTCCTTTTTCGGGGATCCAAGCCCGAGTTACCCCGGACCCGGGTTACCCCGGATAACTCGGGCGCCCAGAGCCCCACATCATCAGGGGTAACTCGGGTCAGGGCTAACTCGGGTTCCTTTTTCGGGGATCCAAGCCCGAGTTACCCCGGACCCGAGTTACCCCGGATAACTCGGGCGCCCAGAGCCCCGAATCATCAGGGGTAACTCGGGTCAGGGATAACTCGGGTTCCTTTTTCGGGAAGCCAACTCCCGAGTTACCCCGGATAACTCGGCGCCCAGAGCCCATCAGGGGTAACTCGGGTCAGGGATAACTTCGGGTTCTTTTTTCGGGATCCCCCGAGTTACCCCGGACCCGAGTTACCCCGGATAACTCGGGCGCCCAGAGCCCCGAATCATCAGGGGTAACTCGGGTCAGGGCTAACTGGGGTTCCTTTTTCGGGAATCCAAACCCGAGTTACCCCGGACCCGAGTTACCCCGGATAACTCGGGCGCCCAGAGCCCCAATCATCAGGGGTAACTCGGGTCAGGGCTACCTCGGGTTCCTTTTTCGGGGAATCCAAACCCGAGTTACCCCGGACCCGAGTTACCCCGGATAACTCGGGCGCCCAGAGCCCCGAATCATCAGGGGTAACTCGGGTCAGGGATAACTCGGGTTCCTTTTTCGGGATCCAAGCCCGAGTTACCCCGGACCCGAGTTACCCCGGATAACTCGGGCGCCCAGAGCCCCACATCATCAGGGGTAACTCGGGTCAGGGCTAACTCGGGTTCCTTTTTCGGGATCCAAGCCCGAGTTACCCCGGACCCGAGTTACCCCGGATAACTCGGGCGCCCAGAGCCCCGAATCATCAGGGGTAACTCGGGTCAGGGCTAACTCGGGTTCCTTTTTCGGGAATCCAAGCCCGAGTTACCCCGGACCCGACCCCGATTAGAGCCCATCGGGTATCGGGTCGGGATAACTCGGGCGAGTTACCAGAGCCCCAGAATCATCAGGGGTAACTCGGGTCAGGGATAACTCGGGTTCCTTTTTCGGGAATCCGAACCCGAGTTACCCCGGACCCGAGTTACCCCGGATAACTCGGGCGCCCAGAGCCCCAGAATCATCAGGGGTAACTCGGGTCAGGGATAACTCGGGTTCCTTTTTCGGGAATCCAAGCCCGAGTTACCCCGGACCCGAGTTACCCCGGATAACTCGGGCGTCCAGAGCCCCGAATCATCAGGGGTAACTCGGGTCAGGGATAACTCGGGTTCCTTTTTCGGGAATCCAACCCGAGTTACCCCGGACCCGAGTTACCCCGGATAACTCGGGCGTCCAGAGCCCCGAATCATCAGGGGTAACTCGGGTCAGGGATAACTCGGGTTCCTTTTTCGGGAATCCAAACCCGAGTTACCCCGGACCCGAGTTACCCCGGATAACTCGGGCGCCCAGAGCCCCGAATCATCAGAACTCGGGTCAGGGATAACTCGAATCCATCCCCGGACCCGAGTTACCCCGGATAAGAGCCCCGAATCATCAGGGGTAACTCGGGTCAGGGATAACTCGGGTTCCTTTTTCGGGAATCCAACCCGAGTTACCCCGGACCCGAGTTACCCCGGATAACTCGGGCGCCAGAGCCCCGAATCATCAGGGGTAACTCGGGTCAGGGATAACTCGGGTTCCTTTTTCGGGAATCCAAACCCGAGTTACCCCGGACCCGAGTTACCCCGGACTCGGGCGAGAGCCCCGAATCATCAGGGGTAACTCGGGTCAGGGATAACTCGGGTTCCTTTTTCGGGAATCGTTACCCCGGACCCGAGTTACCCCGGATAACTCGGGCGCCCAGAGCCCCGAATCATCAGGGGTAACTCGGGTCAGGGATAACTCGGGTTCCTTTTTCGGGAATCCAAACCCGAGTTACCCCGGACCCGAGTTACCCCGGATAACTCGGGCGTTAAGTGTGAAGGGAGGCAGGGCGCCCGGATGGGCACGGGCCCGCGCCGATGTCGGGGGCCCTTGTAAGGCCCCCTCGCGCGGTGGCCCGCGCTCGACCGGGAGGTCTGCGTCGCTGCTCGGGGCCTCCATCCCAGACCCCCTCGAGTTGTGAAAAAATCACGACGGGAGGTTTTTCGCCATGTTCGGCCTCTGGGGGCCCTCACCGGGCCTCGGGACCGTCAAAAAACGACTCGGGATGAACAAACCGGTCCCGGGGAATGGGTCTGGACCTCTGGGGGTCGCGTCGTGAAAAAATCATGACGTCGGGGGTCTGGGATGGGGGCCCTCACCTGGCTTTCCGCGCCCGCCCACTCTCTAAGAGAGATGTCGTGCCAGGCCCGTTTCGAGCTCGAGCGGCAGGAGGGCGTTGCTCCGAGGCCCGAAAACCATCACTTCACTAATTTTGGGCCCCAGGGCCCACTGAGGCCCCAGGGGCCCCAGATTAGTGAAGTGATGTTTTTTCCCACGTCAGGACCCCGAAATTCATCACTTCACTAAACCGAACCCAGGACGAAAGTCAGGGGCCGAATTGCTGCTGTGATGCAACATCGGCTTCGTAGTTGCTCCTCCCTTCTCCCCACGAGTCTGCGATTTTGATTCAGGCGACTCAGACTGAATGGGTCGCCGTTCGGGGAGCCAGCATCCCCCTCCGCTGCTGGCTCGCTGCCTTGCAAGGTCAGTCCAAGGATTTGGAGGCCTTGGCGCTGACGCCAAAAAAAGCCCGCGGGGCCGTCAAAAAGAGCGGCTCGCGGGATGACGAAAAGGTCCCCGGGGAGGGGTCCAGACCCCGGGGTCAAGGGAGGAAGACCACCCGGACGGGACAACTGGCGTTTACTATGCACGACCCCGGGCGTTTACCAGCGTGCCCTGCCCTGTTGGGATCTCTGCTGTGGGCGCGCTTTTGCCACAGCACTGCAGGCCTCGCGTGTCGGGGTGGCTAACTGATCGGGGTGGATCTTCTGCCCTCGCGAGGGGCCGACGCCGTCACAGACAAAGGCGCGACGCCGGGGGCCTGGGGGCACTGGCGGTCCGGCAGCCCGTGCCTCCCTCCCAGACCCCCGGCGTCGTGATTTTTTCACGACGTCGACCCCCAGAGGTCTGGACCCTTTCCCCGGGACCGGTTCTTCGTCCTGAGTCGTTTTTTGACGGTCCCGAGGCCTGACGAGGGCCCCCGGAGGCCGAAAATTGTGAAAAACCTCCCGTCGTGATTTTTTCGCCACGCGAGGGGGTCTGGGCTCGGCGCCTGCGCCCTCCGCGCCTTCACCGCGCGGCCTCTGCCGCGCTGCCGCGGCCGCGCCCCGGGGGGCGCCCTCCGCGCGGCGAGGGCGCGGAAGGTGCAGGTCGGCGGGCTGCGCCGCTCCCCCGGGGTCCTCCTCCTCCTCCTCCTCCTCCTCCTCCTCCTCCTCCTCCTCCTCCTCCTCCTCCTCCCCCTCCTCCTCCCCCTCCTCCTCCCAGTTTTCGGCCTCCGGGGGCCCTCACCGGGCCTCGCGGGACCGTCACAGAGCGAGCACTGGCCCAGACCCCCTCGGGCAGTGGCAGAAATCATGACGGGAGGCTCTTCCCAGTTTGCGGTGACCCAGACCCAGCTCGGGTAATGACAAAGTCATGACGGGGGGCTTTTCCTAATTTTCGGCCTCCGGGGGCCCTCACTGGGCTTCGGGACCGTCGAACCCAGACCCCCGACGCCATGATTTTTTCATGACGCGACCCCCAGAGGTCCCGACCCATTCCCCGGGACCGGTTCTTCGCCCTGAGTCCTCTTTTGACGCTCCCGAGGCCCGGCGAGGGCCCCCAGAGGCCGAAAATGGCGAAAAACCTCCCGTCGTGATTTTTTCACGACGCGAGGAGGTCTGGGAAAAACGACTCAGGATGAGGAACCGGTCCCAGGGAAAGGGTCGAGGCCTCTGGCGGTCGAGGTGATGAAGAGTTCATGGCGTCGGAGGTCTGGGCGCCCCCTGACTCTGGAGCCGCGGTGCTCTTAAGAGCAGGGCGGGGATATTGCCCCCCTACCCTTCGAGCTCCTCTGGCTCCGATTTCGGCCCCGCTTTGCCGCCGCTGCCTCCGCCATACCTTTGCAGAATCATCCGCGCCACCTCTCGGTGAGGCGGGCAGTCTCGCCGTATTTTTCGCTTCGCGCGGGGTGCATCCCCGGCACATGCAAGTGGCAAGCCGGGGAAGCAGCCGAAGCACGGCGCATCCGACGCAAGGGTCCGAGGCGGGAATCTATACATGGCCACCGCCTGGACGGTCAGTTGTCGGAGCCCCGGCAGGCGGTGGACATATGGACACCTATTCGGGCCCCCGGGGGCCGACGTAGATCATATATATATATATATATATATATGTGGACATCCGGTCGGTTCCCAGGCGGTGGACGTGGACAGATCCCCGCCTCGCACAGGGAGCCCTCCAGGGCCGGCTCTTTCGCCTGCGGGAGGGGGTCACGCTCCACCTCTACGTGAGCACGGCGCCCTGCGGGTGGGCGAGCGCGGGGGCGGCGGAGCGCAGGCCGGGGGGGCGCGCAGGAACGCGCCGGTCCTGGCCAGGCCGGTGCCCGGCGCGCAGGATCGGTGTATGATATTTTTTGATGGCCCAGCCAAGGTTAAGTCGGGCCCGTCCCCCAACAGGGGGTATATGCAAAACTAGTAAAGCAAATTGTCGGGGGACTATTGTTCGAGTATTGTCTGGCATCTTTTGAACATGTATTGCGTATTTTTTATTTTCTCATCCAAAAACCCCTTGTAGAAGGACAGGCCCGACCTACAGCCAAGACCCAGACCCCTGCGCGTTCTGGAAAAACCACGACGGCAGAGGGTTCGCTCATCCGGCCCCTGCTGGCCCTCACCGGGCCTCGGGGCCGTCGAGTGACGACTCAGGATGAAGAGCCTGTCCCGGGGAAGAGGTCCAGACCTCTGGGTGTTGACGTTGCGAAAAAATCGCGACGTCGGGGGTCTGGGGAGGGCGCAGGCAGCAATCGTGGGCCCATGGGTGCTGCCACCTGCTTGGATGGCGGGGCGGATTGTTGGTCGCCCGGGTCGCTCGGGCGAGATGTGTGCAGCATGCCCAGCTCCTACGATTAAGTGCCAAACAAGTACGCTTGCAAGCTTCCGTGATTTAAGCTTGATTGGACCCCCTCAGCAGTCGATATAGGCTAGCTCTGCGAAGCTCCAGATCAATGATCGTATTCTGAATCGCCCATACCTGCTCTTATACATGGCTACAGCAATGCCAGCTCAACTTGTTTCGATAAAAAATCATTCGTGCGTGTGCCAGCCACTGTAAATCAATAAATTACCCGGGACGTGCGTAGGATCTAGCTGTGAATTCGCGACGTGGTCTAACCTCTTACCCAGTTTACCAATGAGGCGCCTGCTATCTATGTCAAGGGCGGCATACGATTTCATGAGCAAGTTCACGCTTGGGTGCCCATGATTGCATGCAACCGGTCGTGTTGATGGAGTGACGTGGCACCGCGACTGCAGAGGCTGGGCCGCAAACGCGTTGGACACTGCGCAGGCGAGCTGCACAGACACGTCACTGCCTGCAATCGCCCCGGCGAGGGGCTGAAGCTGCCCCACCACCCTCCAGCCGCCCGCGTGGGGCCAGGGCCGGTGCCAAAAAGTGTAGCTAGCTGGCGCCCGATCCTGGCAGGGCCGCCGCGTCCGCGCGGGACCTCGGCGCGGACGAGTTCCCGGCGCCGCCCCTGCTGGAGCCCGGCGCGGCCGCGCCGCTCGCCAAGGGCTCGGGGGACCCGGACGCCCCCCCCGGCTGCGTGCGCCTGCCGAGCGTGGCGGCGGCGGCCGGCGTGCCAGGCGTGAGCCTGTGCTGCAGCGACAAGGCGAGCGACGGAAGGGAACGCTTGGCGTCGCTCGGAGGTGCCCAGAGATCCAACGCATTGAACAACATCAAGGCGCAGGTTTTTCGTACTTTTCGACCTCTATAGAGGCCCTCGCCGGGCCCCGGGACCGTCAAAAAACGACTCAGGATGAAAAACCGGTCCTGGGGAACGGGTCGAGGCTTCCGGGGGCCGCGCATCCCAAAATTCACGACGTCGGATCTCTGGGTGCGCAGCTCCCAGACACGATCGCGTCGCGGAAGAGAAAATCCGGGCGGGAGGCCTGGGGGGCCCGCCGTTTGCGGCACCCGGGAGGCCTCGCCGGGCCTCGGGGCCGTCCGAAGACGGCGCGGGATGAGAAGCCGATCCGGGCGGAACGGGGCGGGACGTCCCCCGCAGCATTGAACGGATCACGTCGCACGTGCGGTCGCCTCGGCCTGCACCCTCCGCGCCCTCGGCGAGGCAGGTGCCGCGCTGCCGCGGCCGCATCGCGGCGGCACCTTCGGCGCGGAAGGTTCGGAAGGTGCAGGTCGACCGCTCCGACCTTCGCGCGCAGTCCTCGGATCTGGGCGGTGCACTTCCTTGCCCGCCGGGGGGCCGCTGCCGCCCAGCTTCGGCCCCTGGGGCCATCACAGGTCCAGGCAGCTCGAAGCAGTGCAGCACTCGGGCGGGGTGCAGGGCTCGGGCCGCGATTGCCTGGGGATGCTGCAGCTCATCTGCCGCAGCGTCGGATCGCAGGAGAGCCTCCCGCAGAAGGTCGAGCGTGGGCACCCTCTCCTCCTCCTCCTCCTCCTCCTCCTCCTCCCCCTCCTCCTCCTCCTCCTCCTCCTCCTCCTCCTCCTCCTCCCTCCTCCTCCTCCCCTCCTCCTCCTCCTCCCTCCTCCTCTCCTCCTCCTCCTCCTCCTCCTCCTCCTCCTCCTCCTCCTCCTCCTCCTCCTCCTGGGGGGGGCCGCGCGGTGCGCCGCGCGCCGGCGGCCCGCGCGAGCCGCCGCGCAAGAGGCCGCCGCGCCTGCTCGCGCAAGAGGCCCGCAAGAGGCCACGCGGACCAGGGAGGGGGGAGGAGGGAGGAGGGAGGAGGAGGAGGAGGAGGAGGAGGAGGAGGAGGAGGAGGGGAGGAGGAGGAGGAGGAGGAGGGGAGGAGGAGGAGGGGGAGGAGGAGGAGCAGGAGGAGGAGGAGGAGGAGGGGGAGGAGAAGGAGGAGAAGGAGGAGGAGGAGGAGGAGGAGAAGAAGAAGAAGAAGACGAAGTGGAAGAAGGAGCAGGAGGAGGAGGAGGAGAAGGAGGAGAAGGAGGAGGAGGAGGAGGAGGAGAAGAAGAAGAAGACGAAGTAGAACAAGGAGGAGGAGGAGGAGGAGGACTTGAAATGATATGGCTTACGGGGCGCCTTAAGCCCAGGTGGCCCGCTGGCAGACCCTGGGGCTGCAGGGCGCCCTGCTGTCGCAGTTCCTGCCCGCCCCGCTGCGCCTGAGCTGGGGGAACGAGGCGTTCCATAGAGCATGATTATCTTCGTTTGTCTTCGTTTATCTTCGTGTAGCTTCGTTGCTTATCTTCGGTATGTATCGTCGTTGTTTGGCTTCGGTTATCTTCGTTTATGTTTGTTGCTTATCTTCGTTTGTCTTCGTTGTTCATCTTCGTTGATGATTTTCTGGTGTTTACTCAAGTTGTTTTTGTTTATCTTCGTTTTTTTCCGTTCCGGTTTTAAGGAACGCTCGAAGGGTGACGTAGACATAAAACCTCGGAGGTCCGCGCGGATTTCTCGGATCGGCGCTGGACCCCCCTCCCTGGCGCGCGGAGCGCGCCAGGGGCGGCGCCGGAGGCGCCGCCAAGGGGGATCCCAGCGCGGATCCGAGAAGTCCGCGCGGACCTCCGAGGCTTTATGTCTACGTCACCCTTCGAGCGCTGCTTAAAACCGAAACGGAACAAAAAACGAAGATCCACAAAAGCAACTGGAGCAGAAGCCAGGAGAGGATCAGCGAAGCTGAGCAGCGGAGATAAGCGAAGATGAGCAGCGAAGATGAGCAACGAAGATAACCTCCGAGGTTTTATGTCTATGCGTCACTCCCAGACCCCCGACGTCATGATTTTTTGATGACGCGACCCCCAGAAGTCTGGACCCCTTCCCCGGGAGCGGTTTTTCGTCCTGAGTCGTTTTTTGACGGTACCGAGGATCGGTAAGGGCCCCCGGAGGCCGAAAATGGCGAAAAAATTCCCGTCGCGATTTTTTCACAACGCGAGGAGGTCTGGGCTTCTCGTTCCCCTGTGAGCACCGTCACCATCGGGCGCAAGTTCGGCCAGGCGCGCTGCGAGCGGGCCCTGTGCGGCGGGCCGGGCGCCCGGCCCGTGGCGGTGCTGAGGGCGGGCCCCAGCCTGGAGGCCGCGCTGGCGCGGCGCCGCGGCGCCGCGGCCGCGGGCGCGCCCCAGCTCGAGAAGGGCGACGGCGACGAGGGCCGCGGTCCTTCGCCCCCCAGACCCAGACCCCCTCGCGTTGTGAAAACATCGCGTCGGGAGGTTTTTTTGCTATCTTCGGCCTCCGGGAGAGAAAGGTTCAGATCCCAACCGGACGCGTGAGATCCCAACCGGACGGTTCAGATCCCAACCGTCAAGGACACGCTGGACGCGTGAGATCCCAACCACTTTGGAACCTCTGAAAAGCTCCAAGCCTCTGCAAGGTTCTGAGAGCCACTGCGAGCCTCTGAGAGATTCTGATAGATTCTGCGAGATTCTGAGAGATTCTGAGAGAGTCTGAGAGATTCTGCGAGATTTTGAGAGATTCTGAGAGATTCTGCGTGTTTCTGATAGATTCTGAGAGATTCTGAGAGATTCTGAGAGATTCTGAAAGGTTCTGAGAGATTCTGAGAGATTCGAGAGATTCTGAGAGATTTTGAGAGATTCTGAGAGATTCTGAAAGATTCTGAGAGATTCTGAAAGCTTCTGAGAGTTTCTGAGAGATTCCGAGAGGTTCTGAGAGATTCTCAGAGCTTCTGAGAGATTCCGAGAGCTTCTGAGAGATTCTCTGAGATTCTGAAAGCTTCTGAAAGATTCTGAAAGCTTCTGAGAGATTCTGAGAGATTCGGAGAGCTTCTGAGAGACCCTGACAGATTCTGACAGCTGCCTTAGAGATTCTGAAAGATCCTGAGAGATTCTGAGAGATTCTGAGAGATTCTGAGAGGTTCTGAGAGATTCTGAGAGATTCTGAAAGCTTCTGAGAGGTCCTGAGAGATTCTGAGAGATCCTGAAAGATTTTGAGAGCTTCTGAGAGATTCTGAGAGATTCAAAGAGATTCTGAGAGATTGTGAAAGCTTCTGAGAGGATCTGAGAGATTCTGAGAGCTTCTGAGAGATTCTGAGAGGTTCTGAGAGGTTTTGAGAGATTCTGAGAGATTCTCAGAGTTTCTAAGAGATTATGAGGGCTTCTGGGGGTTCTGAGAGATTCGAGAGATTCTGAGAGAATTTGAGAGATTCTGAGAGCTTCTGAGAGATTCTGAGAGGTTCTGCAATCTTTTGAGAGATTCTGAAAGCTTCTGAGAGATTCTGAAAGATTCTGAGAGTTTCTGAGAGATCCCTGAGA